GGGAAACGTTGTTGAGATGGGTTCTTACAATAGTTTAGACCAGATACATTCGCGAAAGTGGTCGCTTATTACAGGTGTTATATGTTGTTTCGGACCAAAAATCGATGCCCGCGGTCGCGTTACACGGGTGGTCGTTTAATACAGGTAACTTATACGAAGACTCTATGGGTAAACTATTCCGTGCCAGAAATTTTTGCCCGTTTTGACAGGTGCCCGTCGAATGCAGGTGGTCGCCTAAGCAGTTTTCACTGTAAATGTAATTAAACATAAAAAATACTTAAAACTGAAAAAAAACGAAAGAAACGCGTTAATTTTGAAGAAAAAGCTTCAAGTTATATTTTCCTTTATCTTCCCTTTCTTTGTAATTTGACACTGATGAATCATTGTTTACACAGCTTGATGATCTTGAGAACAGCTGGAGTCAGATTTTCCGGTACATTCTCATAGAAGTCTTGGGAGGCGATAGATTTATAGTAGGGTGACTACTAGTTGGCCGTATATTTTTAGATATTTTTAAAAAATTAAAATTTTTATTGCGTCATCTCATAAATGTTTAGTTATTATTGCTTTCATAAGAATTCCATAGTTATTCTCATATAATTTGACATACAGTATTTCACTTACAAAACCAAATCTGTAAAGAAGAGTTCGAGTGGTTAAGGTGTCATCACGCTGTTCTCGGATCATGGAAACGAATCTCACGAAGGAGATAAAGTACACAGGGCAAAAAGAGTGAAATTATGGTCAGGAAACACGGGAAGTAATCTGGGTAAAAAATATCTTTAGAAATTTTTTTCTATGTTTGGTGAAGGACAGAGCCCAATATATCTAGCCTCGTTTCTCACTACCCGGTCGCCTTGTTGTTGGAGTAGTCGAGCCCGCAATGAACATGGTGAAAAGGACCGTTTGTGCTCACGGGGTGAAAATGAAAACAAAATGAATGTTTGTAGGGAAATTAACACGAATATACGTGTGAAGTACTCTTAAGTGATGCGTGTTTGTAAATATCGTTTATTAATTAAGAACGCGTGCAGAAAATGAACCAAGAAGCTCTCGATATCTTTACACTTTAATATTAATTAATAAAGATTCACGTGTTGTAAGATAAGTAGAGATTCTACGTGAGAGTTAATGTGGATTGTATTTGGAGCCTTCAACGTTCAGAGGGTTTTCAGAGCAGAAAACGGAAAACGCAATTTAAAAAATTTTTTATTTTTGTGACATTAGGAACTTGGTGTTTTATACTCTTACGTGAGAGAAAATTTGTAGTTATATTATTTAAGCAAATATTATAATATAATATAAGGGTTCATCTGATCATCTAAAACAATTTAACACCTTANACTTACTCCTGTTTTTAGGTATTCGATATTCGGCCGAATAACCAAAAATAGGCGGAATAGGCCGAATACCGAATAGAAACCGAATATTCGTTACATCACTATTATCTACACATTTTGTCAGTACAATAGAACCCCTCTAGTCCGCCCTCGGCTAGTCCGTCACTCCGGTTAATCCGACCGTGGTCGAGGCGAGAAACTTGTCCCGACTCGTCGGTGACTCACCGTCCGTGGAGTTTTTCTGTGTTCGTTACAGTATATGTTTTACATTGTCTGTACATGTGCAGTTTTATGTGTGTTTTCAACATGTCAGGAGTGAAACGTAAACACGTTACTCTTTCATCAAATGAAAAATTAGCAGTGCTACAAAGACTGAACAAAGGGAAAGATTGTTTATTTTACTTTTTTCTGATAATCCGACCTTTTTTGCCGTCCCAACAAAACCCCAGTCCCAAAGATGACGGATTAGAGGGGTTCTACTGTAATTACTCTTTTGAAATACCTCACCAAGTGTTATCAAAGTAAAATATTCGAAATATCCATAGATGAGCTATGGATTTCTGGCATAGCTGACTTTCGGAAAATCAACTATCCGAAAAATTTCATGTTTTTAGACATACTGCATAATCATTATCGCGAAAATTAGATTTAATGTATTTCTCGTTTTTGCTATTAAGTTTAATATTGTATAGGCCTATGTTTTTCGTTTTGTTGAAGACTTCGTGGTAATGAAGGTCTCGAGCAACATTTCGAAAACGGATTTCTCGTGCGACCTTCTATAGCTTTTTTCGCGACACAGCGTAATATACACAAAACTGTAAAGTGCTAAGTAATTTATTCAGTTTAAAAATAGAAAACGCATTAGTAGACAATAGGCCTACTTGCTTTGTGATAAACATTGACTGAATAAAATTTTTCTTCTGGATTTAACTGCAACAAATATATTCAATGTAATGAATTTCAATTTCCTCATTTTAAAATTTCGATACTTCCACTTGGCCTCTTTTCGTTCATTGGACTCCCTAAATACTATCAATACTTTATAATTTCGACTATTTCGACTATTGCGGCTATTGTGATAAGCCGAGTACATCCGTTCCTTTGTACCACTGTGATGGTGCACACAGCACAAATGGTAACAAGGCCAATATGGTAAGAATAGTAGTTAAATGTTGCAAATAACGCTAATGTATAACCTGATGAATAAGAATAATAATTTAGAAAATGAATTACCGAGTGAAGTATTCGATTGTTCGCATCAAGCATTGCAAAGTTTTCCGCAAATATTTCGCCAGCAGGNAGTTTAAATATACAATACATAATAAGAGATAGATATTTTACAAAACAAATTACAGGTGATCAATATATGAATATAATTAAGAACACACAGAATAAAGTAAAGATGAAAGCAGTAGCAGAGTATAACGGTAAAACAGTAAATTTTAAAATATATACACGCGTAGAATTAAGTTAACATAATATGTTGATAAACATTGAGAAAACAAAGAAAAGGTTAGATGTAAAGTTCATTATAAAAGGAAGTATACAGTATTTAAATGTTGATATACAGCAGCAGAGAGGGATGCAGGCAGCTAGGTGAGAGTTGATGTGCCAGTGGGAACATTAGTCTTGATGTTATACTGGTCGATTAGGGTTATAAATTGGTTGTAAGTGTCCTTGTTGTTGATCAAATCATTAAGGAACTCATGGTTATTTTGTGGCCAATGGCCATGCCGACTGCTAATGAGCAATTGTAGTTGTGTCCTCTCAAAGTCCAGCATTACACAATGAAGAATGTAGTGGAGGCTGCCATCCTGAGTGTTGCATGTTGTGCAAAGGCCACTGTTATATGGATCCACAAATCGACTGATGTAGGAGTGGAAGCGGCCGTGGTTAGTCAGAAACTGGGTGAGCTTGAAGTTAGGGGTGATCCATTTATAGTTGAAGATTGCAGAGATGTCCGGGAAGAACTGGTAAGTGATGTTTTGGTTGTTGTCCCAATTATTTTGCCAGGTGATGAGTAGATCGTTCCAAAGGAGCTTTTTGATAGCGGTCAGGCTGAGCTTATTGTAGATAATAGGGAGAGTTTGATCTGTGGCAGCAGATTTAGCCAGGGCGTCAGCACGTTCATTACCGATGATGCCCTGGTGGGCATGGACCCAGTTGATGCTGAAGGAGTTGCTACAGTTTTTGACAGCTTCGTGGATGACATATGCAATAGGGTGAAGGTTTCTGTGACTTATGAGGGAGATGGCGGAGTTGCTGTCAGAGTGTAGTGCAATGTTGGTGTTGTGGAAGTTCACGGAGCACCAATCGATGGCTGTCTTGATGGCAAGCAGCTCAGATTGGAAAACAGAGCAGCTGCCGTGTAACCGGTTCCTTTGGTTAAAGATCTCCGTTCCATTCTGGAAAACAACAAAGCTGCAGCCCACCTGGTTGTCGATTTTTGATCCGTCAGTGTAGATGTCAATGGAAGGAGGAGAGTGAAAGTTATGGATGAAATTGGGAGGTTCATTAGGATAAGGTGAGTTGCTGTAGTTGATCGGGCATTCGAGCATGTCTGCCTGAATAGTAGTAGAGCTGGTGGTGATGTTATTGCCCCATTTGATGTTCCAGACTTCGCTGTAAAGTTTTATTATCTGGTCTATTGGTGGCTTTTTACAAATCACTTGTAGGCTGGAGTTGGGAGCAGTACGGTAAGCTTTAGCGATGCGTAGTAATGCTGTCCTCTGGGCAGAGATCAGCTTCCGACGTGGATGGGATTTCACGGCGGCATTGCCCCAAGTGCCACAGCCATAGGTCACGATGGGAACAAAGATAGTGTCATATATTACACTCATGGCTTCGGAGTTAAGGCCCCAGTTGTTTTTGGCCACTCTAGCAAAGGAGTGGAAGATGAGGCCAACACGGTCGCAGATGTATTTTATATGCTGCTCCCAAGAAAGGTGGAAGTCAAGAACAACGCCCAGGTACTTCAAAGTCTTCTGTATTTTAATGGAATGTCCATTCATTTTAATGGTAGGAACTCTTTTATATAAGTTGGGTTTACGAGGACTGTTGAAAACGATTCCCCTGGTCTTCTGGGGGTTGAAATGCAGTTTGTGGAGGATACCCCAGCGATGTATGTTCTGGAGAATGTTACTGGCTTTATTTTCCAGG